GCCTCTTAGGGTTCCTACTGTGTTACCGTACTCTTTGTCCTAACCAGGCTTAACTCCTGAGATATGCGTGCACACACACACACATGCACACATGCACACGCTTGCACTCACATCATCACCTTCCTCTTTTCCCTTTCTAGAAGCCAGTTAGGAGCCAGTTTAGATGTTCTCTTTAATATTGTTATACAGAAATGGAAGAATAAAGGAGTCACCTTAGGTGACACATAAATAAGGATAAGTAGCACAAGTTGAAATTTGTGGTTTAAAGCAAAAAATTTACAAAGAGCTCCCATTTTACATTTTCTTTTTCTAAAGTACCATGCTTTCTAGCCTCTCTGTGGTTAAGGTCTGTAAGATTTAAGCAGATTGTTGCATGATAATAAAGAGCTTCGGACATCCCAATGACTGTTTCTACTATGATGTAGCTTAATTACCTTAATTTAACTTCCTGTCCTAGGAAATTAGAACTTATTTTTGAAAATCATTAACCCTTCTAACTTGCAGAAGATCACTGACTAGATTGAGGAGAAAATATGGCAGGAAACAGCTGTAACTTACACTTTGCAGAGAGCCTGAAGCTCTTTCTCTTTATTTTATTGATTTTGCTATTACAGTTGTCCTAATTTCCCCCCTTTGCTCTCCACTACCTGGTAGCCCCATTCCCTCCAGCAATCCCCCTCCTTAGTTCAGGACCATGGGTTGTGCATGTAAGTTCTTTGGCTTCTCCATTTCCTATACTGTTTCTAACATCCCCCTGTCTACTTCGTACCTGTCAATTATACTTCTTGATCCCTGCACTTACCCCCTATTCTCCACCCCCGTCTCCCTCCCAGCTGATAGCCCTCCAAGTGATCTCCGTATCTATAATTCTGTTCCTCTTCTGGTTGTTGCCTTAGTTTGTTTTTTTAGATTAATTTGTTGCTAGTTGAAGCTTTCTCTTATTTTGAAACTAATGAAAGGGCAAGAAGGGGCCCTTTTTGAAAATCCTGTTTGGAGGCATGAGGAACAAAGATTTTTCTTAAATAGTGGACTAACTCATTAATTTTGGATTAATTTTAGTTAACATAATTAATTTCAGTTGATTCTTTGTTCTAAATTCACCATGAAAGTCTTAATAATAAATGAAGTTTATTATAATACAAATTTTTAATGGTTGTTTTACCACGGTCAAGAATTATATTTGTGGTGACTCAGTGGATTGAGCACCAGTCTGCAAACCCAAAGGTCCGTTTGTTCGATTCCCAGTCAGGGTACATGCCTGAGTTATGGGCCTGGTCCCCAGCTGGGGGCACGCGACAGGCCCCCCCACATCAATGTTTCTCTCCTTCCCTTTTCTCTCCTGCCCCCTCTCTCTAAAAATAAATAAGTAAAATCTTCAAAATATCAAAACATATAAAAGGCACATAGTGCAAAGTCCCCTTGCCACCTACTTCCCTAGCCCACAGAAGACCACAATTATTGTTTTTTTTGTGTTGATGCTTTATATATTACAAATAATTGTTATTATCTTTATCCCACTTACTCCTCCTACCACAGTGAAGTGGATCATAGAGCAGATACATTGACCTTTGTTACGAATGAGAAAGCTGAGATGCCAGGATTCAGACAGTGAGCCCAGCCTGGACTGGGACCCCCTTTCAGACACTCAGCTAGGCGTTCTGTTCACCAGATGAGCCCTCCTGTGGCTTAGTGGTAGGGAGCCCACTGCGAACCCCTTTCTAGAGTAAGCACTTGCCTCTGGCACTGACTAAACACTTTAGCAAGACTGGAGTTTTCTCCCCAGAGGTCTCTCCTCTCCACCTTACTACCCACCTGCCTCCTCTCCTTTCTCCTCCCCCTCCTTTCTTCTCCCCCCTCTTCTTCTCTCTCCCCCCTCTTCTCTTCTCTCCCCTCCTCCTTCTCTTCTCTCCTTTTCATCTCCCTCTCCTTTCCTCCTTGCCTCTCCCCTGCCCTCCCCAGCATAGCTGATTCCCTGAGCACTGGGATGTGACTGAGCCAAGGGCTGTCCCACCTACATTCTTGGAGCATCTGAGAAAACTTCTGGAGACCAGTGCTTGTGCAGCTGGGCCTCTTCTTGTGTCTTCTCCCTGTCTTCCTGGTATCTGCCCCAGGGTCACAGGATAGAGACTTCTGTTCCTTGTATCTGTTTTGCAACCTCTGCCAGAAAGCCTTTCCTGATGCCCCTTGATAAGAACCCTCTGATGCTCAGTTGAGAAAGATCATCTGGGTATTCATGGGCTCATTCACCTGACCCTTACAATAAGGGCATGAGACAGGCCTGGAGAAACTTAGTGAGGCTCAGAGAGGCCAAATGACCTGCCAAAGATGACACAGCAGGCAAGTGGCCCCAGTGGTACTTAAGCCATAGTTTTCTCATGACAGTTAGCATGCTTGGTGTACTGTAACAGGCCACCTCTGTGGACTGCCCACACCCTTAGCTTCTGCCTACAGTGCTCAGGCAGTATATAGGGCAGTTAAGATCATGGGCTTGGGCTTAAGGTCATCAGGCTTCTGAGTGGTGCTGACGCCTGATATCGGCACTTACCAGCTCTATCATTTAGGGCACATTTCTAGTCTCTCTAAACTTTGCCGAGCTGAAAAGTGGAGGTAAGATTTGACTCATAGTGTCCTTGCAAGATCACAGCACACCCTTAGAAAATGGGACCATGCACACGGCACAGCCATCTCAGGGCTTAGTGGGGTGTGAGCATCAAGATTATCTATGATGATTTTAAAAACTTACTTAATAAATCCAGTTCTCTTCTTTTGCTCCAGGCATTCAGAGGCCTGGGCTCACCAGTCTTTGAGTTGGGGGCAGTGTTTTGCACAGAACTGTAGACATTTTGCATTGGGGCTCAAAAGATCTTGTCAGATAAAGGAGAGGCTGCTGAAACCAGCTGGTGTGAGAGTGCTGGGATTTCCCCAAAGTGGTGGCTCATCCCATGGCCTGGACCCTGTAGGTACCTGAGAAGGCGTGGGGAGAGAGAATCCTAGAGAAAAAAGAGGGACCAAACCTGTACAGGAGGTAAATTAATAACAAAATTGGTTTTCAATCCCCATGATGGGGATCTAGGACTATTTTAGGAAGGAGGGGAAAGAAACAGAACTCCCTGGGTGCCTCCAGCTGCCCCCCAGCTGGTTGGCAGCAAGAATAGCATTTTCGTGGAATGAACTCGTCTGTTTGTTTTCCCAAAACAGTTTTCTTTATGGATAATTGTTTCTCCTAGGTTTACCAGTCTGCCCCTCCCACTGAGAGATCATTTCAGGTGAAGATGATCTCATAAACTTGGGAATAGAAACAATTAGGAACATTCAACTGTAAAATCAGAAAGGTTTTGTTTGGGAGGAAGGACTAAAACACACACACAAAAAAACACAAGAAAAAAAACCCAGAAAGCTGTCTTTTAGCTGGGCCCATCTACAACACAGCAAAATCAATGGATAAATTTCTTACTAAAACTATGGAGGAAAAGCATTCTCTAGCATTTGTATTGAACAAGAGATGGTCCATAGAAAATAACAACATGGTACCATAATTTCTCATTTCTCACATAGAACATTTCACCAACATTTGCTTTGTTTAATATGCCATCTTGTTTTATTTTCATGAATGTAAAAATTTATAAGTATAGCCTAATTTCCCCAGGCCTTGCCAGCCTGTGGGTAGTCAGGGTTACATTGAACAGTAATAACTCAAGTTTTTCAGTTTTTGCTAGTGATCAGCAGAATAATGCCCTTCACCCAAGATGTTCATGTCATAATTCCTGAAATCTGTGAATATGGTAGGTAGGTTACATGGCAAAGGGAAGAAATTAAGGCTGCTTACTAATCAACTGACCTTAAAAGGAGATAATCCTGATAGGCCCAGTGTAACCACAATGGCCCTAATAGGAGGGACACAGGATTGTCATAGTTGACGTGACAGTGGAAGCTGAGGCCTGAGTGATGTGGCCATGAGCCAAGGAATGCAGGCAGACTCTAGAATGTGGAAAAGGTAAGGAAACGAATTTTCCCCTAGAGTCTGCAGAAAGAAACAACCCTGCTGACACCTTGACTTTGTCCTTGTGGACCCTCTGATGTCCAGAACTGTAAGACAATAAACCTGCGTTATTTTAAGCTGGAAAAAAAAGAATTATATTTGTGTGTTGTTTACATATGCTGCAATGTAATCTATTTGATTATTGCTCATGTGTATTGTTCTAAATATTAATTTATTATAATATATTACCCAGACTAATGATGCCATTTAGTTCTTGTATGACAACCATTTGCAGTACTTAAAAATAAAACAACAACAGTGAGAAAAAAAATAACAGTGCGTTCCAAAAAAGTATTCCTGGCCTTAGTGATAGTAGTAATTATAAAAGCTCAATCTTCATACCAAAAAAATATGACATTCTGAGTCAGAGCCTAATTGTTGCCTAGAATCATAATACTTTGCGTAAGTAATAGGAAATGACAAGGTACTTCCTCATGATATTCATTTTCCACTTTACTTCTCAAACATATTTTGAGTCATTTGGATTAGGTTTAATCCCTTCATTCTTTGAGCTGCTTCTTTACCTGTGAAAACTGAAATCATTTTTTATCACTCCCCTTTACCGCCATCACCAAATAATGTCTCTTCATCTAAGCCATGTAGTCTGTGTCTATCTCAGTTGCTGTCAACTACCACAAGCAGTTTAAAACTACAAGTTCTTCTTGTTACCAGAGCGAATGGTTAGTATTTCAAGGCTGGGTGTAGACAGTGGGAAAAACCCAGAAAGAGGAGAAAGCCAGATCATCAGGCTCGCAGTTTGAGATTGCGGCTTTGACAGCCAGCCGTGGGCTACTCCACTTGTTTGCTGAACTTGTTTCCTCTTGTTCCCCCAACCCTATTTCTTTTCAACAAGTTCCATTGTCTGATTTGGGAAGTACAGGCATATTTATAGCAATTTGCTAACATAATATGGCTGATCTTAGAAGAGTGTATTAATCTTAACCTTTTTATTTGTTGGCAGAGGGCTTGTACAAGACAGCCGGAATAACCTCCAGTTGAGGGGCTTGGTGGTGCTCCTTATTTCTAAAGCAGCTGGGCCCAGCAGCGTGAATGCTTCATGTCAGAATTATGACATGGTCAGTGGGATCTACTCATGGTAAGAAATTAACCTTTTAACATTGCTCTGTAAATTGTGTTTTCTGATACTGAACAGTAGTGGTAGAAATCACTTTAGTTCTTTATCATCCAATAAATGAAAGTAAATTAAAACTTTGTAAAGTTAAAAAATATGAATTTCATTGTTAGTAAATCTGGTAGTCTTGGCTACTCCATGTATAACTGGTAATTTACCTGTATCTATGTGACGAACATGTGCGTTACTGCCACGGGTGTGTAAAATTTTCTGTTCATTACTTCCCCCTCCCTCTTCAAGGTACCATCATATCGCTGCAGAGACCTCTGTCACTTAGCCCAAGATTTTTGATTTTTAAACCTACTTAAATTGATACATAGTTGTAAAATAATGATGCAACCACCATTTTAGCAGATGTAATTTATGTCAGTGCTATATCATTTCTTTTATTTTGTCTATTTTTATGATGAAGAGTTTTTACTGAAGTTACTGGAATAAGAAATTTTTACATGTCACACATTTAAATTAAAATAAGTTTATGAGTATATATTAGTCACATTTGTTCCATGTAAAACTTCAAATTTCATTCTTTTAAATTACCGTATATTTTTTAGTAATAGTATATCATCAGTAACTTTATTTAATCTTAATAGAGTGCTTGGCACTGGGTTAAAACCCTCTATAGAAGTAACAACCTGCAGGTGAACTCTAGCACATGAAATTAAAACTACCCTAAAAACCGGTGACAAGGAAATTTGGGGGGAAGGATGTAAATGTGTTAAAGATTTGCCTATTTGCTTTTAATTCAAGAGTTTTTCAAAGAAATACAAAAAGAAGACCCTTTCTGGTATATTAACTTAATGGTTAGTCTAATCTACACATGAAATAACTTATTTATATCTGACTAGAAAAGAAAAATGGAATCAAGAAAATAAACAAATGAGATTTGGAAAAAAAACTATAGTTAGAGCCTCAACTTTTCTCAATTGCCTATTATGCTACTTCAAAAAAGTCTCAAGATCTTTGTATCTGTTTTCTCAGGAGTGAAATAAGTATCTTAACAACTCCTATCTAGATAATTATTGCAAGGATCAAATGGGAAACTATCATAAAAATGATCAGAAACCTGGCCCTGGCTGGTGTAGCTCAGTGGATTGAGCGTGAGCTGCGAACCAAAGAGTCGCCGGTTCAATTCCCAGTCAGGGCACATGCCTGGGTTGCAGGCCAAGTTCCCCAGTGGGGGCCACGCAAGAGGCAACCACACACTGATGTTTTTCTCCCTTTCTCTCTCCCTTCCTCTCTAAAAATAAAAAATATATTTTAAAAAGCCCCGGCTGGTGTAGCTCAGTGGATTGAGCACAGGCCTGCGACCCACACGATTGTGGTTTGATTCCCAGTCAAGGCACATGCCTGGGTTGCAGGCCAGTTCCCGGCAGGGGACTCATGAGAGGCAACCACACATTGATATTTCTCTCCCTCTCTCCTTTCCTTCCTCTCTAAAGATAAATAAAATCTTAAAAAAAATTAAAATAAAACATGCTTTCATTTTTTAAAAATGATCAGAAACCTACAAAGCACTCAAAAACATAAATTATTCCAGAATGAGTAGGAACTAAAAATGATCCCAAGATACCTCTTTTAGTAAAGATACTTATATGGATAAGTGGTAAACGGTTGGCAAAAATTATTCTAGTTGGAGGAGTGTGTCATCTGCAGCCACAACAATAGTAATTTGGCTTGCTTATCAGTGAGGAAGGATCACTGGACTTCATAGCTAACAAGCAACCATCATTTCTAAATACTATAGAAGAAAAAACATGGATGGATAAGACCACTGGCAATTTTTTAAAAATCTAAGAGGTGGATTGAGTTTTAAATTAAACCAATAAGATACAAAGGGGCACCTCCCCAAAATGGAACTGATTTATAAAAAACTGTGGCTTCCACCAAGGTGGAGGCATAGGTGGAGACTCCGTGCTTTCTCACACAACCAAATTTAGAGACAACTAAATACTAGCAACAGAAAACATAGCCAGAACACAGAAAATTGAACTTTTCAGAAGTCTGATAACAACAAATTCTTCAGCCTGACCGGTAAGAGGGGCAAAACCAGTAGCTGGTGGAGCGGGGTTGCACAGGAAAACTCGGTCAGACGGACTCAGGCAAGTGGAATCCAGGCGCAGGGTTGGACCTGGTGGGCAACTCATCGAGCGACCGTGGGGAAACAGTGAGGGAGCAGGGCTGCGGGTTGACTGGTCGCGCATTCGTGCGTGGCTAGACAAGCAAGGGAGCGGGCGATTGGACGGGAGCCAGCAGGCCCCAGTGGCGAGGGGCAGCGGAGGGCGCCGCCATTTCCCTGCTCTGACCACGTCCCCACATACAGTGTCACAACCAGTGACCTGGGAGTCCAAGGCTCCACTCCTTGTACTTAACGGGCGCGAACAGACCAAAAATGGCTCAAGAAGATCTCAAAGCCCCAGAGCCTATAAATCTAAGTGATGAAGAAATAGCAAAACTCTCAGATGCACAGTTTAAAACACTGGTGATCAGGATCCTCACAGAATTGGTTGATTATAGCCACAAATTAGGCAAACATATGAAGGCAAAACTAATTGAAATGAATGGAATTTCACAGGAAACCAATAGCGATGAAAAGGAAACTGGGACTCAAATAAATGGAGTGGACCAGAAGAAAGCAAATAATGGCCAAACAGAAAAGAGTGAAGAAGCAAGAATTCAAAAAAATGAGGAGAGTCTAAGGAACATCCAGGACATCTTTAAACGCTCCAACATCCGAATTATAAGGGTACCAGAAGGGGGAAAGGAACAGCCACGAGTGGAAAACTTATGTGAACAAATAATAAAGGAGAACTTCCCCAATCTGGCAAAGGAAATAGACTTCCAGGAAATCCAGGAAGCTCAGAGAGTCCCAAAGAAGTTGGACCCAAGAAGAAACACACCAAGGCACATCATCATTACATTAGCCAAGATTCAAATGAAGGAGAGAATCCTAGAAGCAGCAAGAGATAAGAGGACAGTCACCTACAAAGGAATCCCCCTCAGACTGTCAGCAGATTTCTCAAAAGAGACCTTCCAGGCAAGAAGGGGCTGGAAAGAGGTATTCCAAGTCATGAAATCCAAAGACCTACAACCAAGATTGCTCTATCCAGCCAACCTTTCATTTAGAATGGAAGGACAGATAGAGTGCTTCTCAGATAAAATCATATTCAAGGGGATCATCATCACCAAGCCCTTATTATATGAAATGTTAAAGGGACTTATCTAAGAAAAAGAAGTTAAAAAAAAGATGAACAGTGAAAGGACAGCAAACTCACAGTTATTAACAACCACACCTAAAACAAAAGCAAACTAAAAGGACAGCTAGATCAGGAGTGGAAACAGAAATGAAGATCTCAAGGAGGGTTAGCAACAGGGGAGTGGGAGGAGGAGAAGGAGGGAGAAGGTACAGAAAATAAGTAGCATAGACAGTAGGTAGAAAATAGATGGGGGGCAAGAATAGTATGGGAAATATAGAATCTAAAGAACTTGAGACACATGGTCATAAACTAAAGGGGGGGTAATGGTGGGGACAGGGGGGGTAGGGTGGATGGGAATGAAGGGGGGAATAGAACAACTGTAATAGCATAATCAATAAAAAATAAATTTTAAAAAAACTGTGTATTTGTTCTTACATGTTGAAACTTCAGCCACCTTCAAAGTACTCTCCGTTTGATGTAATACACCCATCGAGACCTTTTTTCCTCTGTTCAGAACAGATTTTGAATTCGTCAGTTTTGATGCCTTTAGTGTGTCTCCCATCGTTGTTTCACCTCTTCCACATCAGCAAAACATTTCCCTCTGAGGGCTTTTTTCATCCAGGGAAACAAAAAACAGTCGCTCAGGGCCAGACTGGGTGAATAGCGAGGATGGGGCAGAGTGATCATGCCTCTTTCAGTCAAAAACTGCTGAACACTTGGTGCATTGTGGGCAGGTGTGCACATAAATCACCCATCATGAAATGGGCAAATGCACCGAAAGAGTCTTCAAAAATAATTCACTGAAGCCCAACACAGCCTTTCGCAATGACAGCTGGTGCACTGCTACAGATGGGTTCCACGAACACTCACCTACCTAGTAGCAGAAGCTTGTACTACATGAGCCCATCCTCCAGAAGATAATTCGGTTTTGGGGGGATTCCCCCCTCATATATCAGCCATAAGTCAAAGTTTCTAGAAATGTTTCTTGTCATGAGAAAAATTTCTCATGGCAAGTGTTCGAATTAGAGGTCAAACTGTACCTTACAAACTTCGTAGCAAGCTCTTGACTGAGTTGAGTTGGAATAACTGGAGAAAACACGTAAGGATCCATAATGAATACCAATAACCTGTTAATCCCTGGAAAGCAAAACAAATTTCACAACACCTTGAATCCATGTATTTCTGGTTTTTGTTAGGAATTCCTTTGGATTCAGCCTGCTGATTTTGACCTTGCTTTATTAGGTAGGTGTCTACCCTTGCAAGTGGGTAACCATATGTACCTGTAATGAATACCAGCCAAGTTTTATTATCTCTAATTCTAAAGTAACCCATGTAAAGTACTATTTGACATGTAAAAAGTGTTCAATAAATATTTGCTACATAAGTGAATCGTCCCTGTTTTACAGAAAAAAAAAAAGCTAATACTGAGATTAAGACTGGTCTGAAATCCTCTAAGTAGAAAGTGATAGAGTTGGGAGTTAAATTCTGGTTTTATTCTGAAGTATATACCCTTTCTACTGTATAGGTGCTCTTATCTATACAAGGTCTATCCAGCAGTATCCAGCCATTTACTATGAAAAATAGAGACATTTACCAAAGAAGATATAAGACACAAGAACATGGTGCATAGGACAATGACACCTCAGTTCCCCTCAAAGTAGGCACCTTGGGACCTCACCCAGTTCTAATTACCATAAGTTGCCCCATCATATTTTCCTGAATCTCATAGACAGTCTGAAATCTTTTCCCTTTTAAAGGTGATTTTAG